ATCTTTAAGTAGGAATATATTTTCTGGTGATTTATTTATCATTAATCCATGTATATAAAATAATTTTAAGATCTCTTAATGAGAAAGATTCTTTCTTTTTTCATTTTAATTCCAGTTTACATGGTCTTAAGCCTTTGATGCAATCCTATTGTTTTCCGGTGTCTATCCAATACTATCAAATTCATGTCACACAGATTTTTTTGTTATTAGTAACTATCTGGGAAAGTTCTGGATTAGAATTCAAATTCTCTTCAGAATATTACTATAGTGGATTCACCTTGAACACATAGACACAAAAAGCCACATATTGTATGAGTCCATTTATATGAAGCATCCAGAATAGATCAGTCTGTAGAAAGAGGAGATAGTGGTTGCCACGGGCCAGGGAAAGGGGACAAATGAAGAGTGACTGATTGCTGGGTATGGGACTCCTTCTGAGGATATGAAAAGTTCTGAACTAGATAATGGTGACAGTTGCATAACACTGTGAATGTTCGAAAAGCCACTGAATTTTATACTCTCAAATAGTTAAAACGGTAAGTTTTATGTTGTGTATATTTAACCACGATAAAAAATGTTGCTACAGTGATTGTCTATTTTGTGTTGATGCTGTATTATAGTATTTCTGGTCTCTCAAGTAAGTATTTGTAAAAACTTAATCTTCTCTTTTATGCTTTACTTAGGTAAAATGATCCATTCTATGGTAGCTCATTTGGATGCTGTTACAAGTCTAGCAGTAGATCCTAATGGAATCTATTTGATGTCTGGAAGTAAGTCTGAACTTCTTGAACTGCCCACAGACTTCATAAGGAATTGTTACTCAGTAACAAACTTTATTCATTCTTTTACAGGCCATGACTGTTCCATTAGATTGTGGAATTTAGACAGCAAGACGTGTGTGCAAGAAATAACAGCTCATAGGAAGAAATTGGATGAATCGATTTATGATGTTGCTTTCCATCCATCAAAAGCATATATTGCCAGTGCAGGAGCTGATGCCCTTGCCAAAGTATTTGTGTGAATCAAAAAAAACTTGCATTACAACAAAAGATTTGCTTGGATATAAAGAGGGTCTGCATCACTGCCATCAAAAAGATTACTGATATGACACTACATGTGATCTGCCTGGTGAAGGCTATTTGGGGCAGGCTAAATTTGTGGAAATCACATCTTAATGTCAGGCTCATCACTTTAACTGTAGTTACTGTATTTCATGGGACAAAAAAAAAGGACTCCAGTATTTGTGGCCTGTATGAATATGAACTGAGCATATGTCTGTTTTTTAGATGTCTTTAAGCCAATGTGGAGTCTGATCTTACAAAAAGACTTTTTTTTTGGACTCTGTGTGCTGCCTTAGGGTTAGGAATGTGGTGCTCTTGTGGGGGGAAGTGAGCTCCAAAAGTAGCTTTTTTGTTTTCATCTCTTAGTGATCTTCTGTTTATCATTTGAATGCCACAGATTCCCTTTTAAACTTATTTTGCTTTTAAAAAAAAGAAAGAAAATTTAACTTAAAATATTTTAGCATTAGTTGCACAAAATGTTTGGATAAAATTCTAGTTTTTATAAGTCTTTTTATATATTTAGCCTGTCACAACAGTGCTCAAGATTGTATTGAAGTTTTTCTGCATTATACAACCCTAAAACACAGAGATCTCACTGACCCGCTGCCCTGTAACCACTTTCTTTCCTTCTGTTGCCTAATACAGCTCAGCTATGTCCTTCCATAAAGATGCTATATCACCTTCATCATCACATAAATGTCTTCAAAAACCAAGGACTATTAAGTGTATTAAAATGAAACAGTGGGGTTTAATACTCCAAATGAACTCTTAAAAAAGAAAAAAAAAAACTAATCTTGGCATCCTATCACTATGTGATATTTTGTACATCTTACTGTATTTACAAGTTTATTTATCAAGGATTATCCATCTTGCTAATGGCCTATTATTTATTTCACTTTTTGTTGTTCTTTATACTTTTATTAATGTGCTAAAGGAATCTGTATATCTATTTTGGAACTCTTTGAATAGTCTAAAATAGACTAAAAATAGAATATTTTATAGTTTAAGTTACAAACCAAGGTGGTTCCCTCCAAGATACATATCTTGGTTTATATGATTCCAAACAAAACTATCTTGTTGAAAAATATTTGGAGTAAAATTTTATTTGCATTACAAATAGGATACAAAAATAGTTGAATCAGGATACAGAAATCTGCTGTGTTTGGAGTAGTTATCCCTGTTTTATTTTTTTTTAAGTGTGCTTAATTTTATGGTGTAACTAAAGATTTTGTTTGTGTAATGCATGATTAAGACAATAAAGTATTTTTTCTAGTCTTCCAAAAAACTTTTCTGATCAGTTTGCGAGTTTTGATGAGTTTTGTAAGGTTTTTGTTTTACAAACTATGAATCAGCAAATTTTTAAGATTGTACCACATAGCAAACATACAGCTGTTGAGAAATAATGTATATAAAATGCATATAATAAATATTAAATTGTGTACCTGTATGTTACTGTTGGCTACATCATTTTGTGTTAAATAATAAAGTGCAATACTTTACTCTCCATAATTAAACTAGGAAATGGAGGTGATTTCTTAGTGAGTCCTTCATTTTTATGCTCTTCTTTTAAACTTTATACTGCTTATTGATATTCTAGTAAGAGTAGAATAGTAACACTACTAATTCCTTTCTGTGTTTCACCCCGTTTGGAGAATTTTTAAAAAAATCTTCTAAAATAAGTTGGGCAATTCAGAATAACCAAAAATATGAAGAGATGCAGTTTTAAATAATTTGTTTAGACATCCTGTTTTTCAATCTGAGTTTCAATTAATGGTGGTGGTGTTCCTATCTAGCCATACCTGTTTGCACAAAAAAGTTCAGCAAAGAATAAACTGTATTGTTTGTTAGTTAAAAGTTGTCCTTTTATAAATAATGTTAAGTATTTATATATTGAAACTTTTCTTTAGCAAGGTAATATTATCCTCTTTCTCCGAAGGGAATTGCAAATGGAATTAGAAGAGAACACTAGAAAACTTATGTGCAAAATTCGATTTGAGTGCATGTTGCAAAAAAAAAAAAAAAAAAAAATTTGCATTGTGTGTATATTGATAAGTTTTGTCATCTACCATAAAAATCCAAGTGGCAATTTCAGTCATTGCTGATGAAACACTAAAACTTCACAGAACTTTAAAAAAAAGTCATTCTTTTGGTTTTTTGAACTGAACATTCAACAAATGAACAAATTAAAGGGGCACTTTTCTCCTCCTCTTCCTTTTTTTAAAAAATAATTTAAAAATAAGCTTTTTCAAAGCTAGTATTGTTTCTGGCAGCTATTCCAACCCAGTGCATTAATGTTTAACTGAAATGTGATTATAAACATTCACCTCTTTTGGAATGTATTAAAACTGAAATGAATAAAAATTAGTATATGTGTTTATTTTTCTCTTATCTACTTTGGTTGTACTTTTCTCAAACAGTATTAAACATTTGGAAGAGACTAGAGGGATGCAAAAGGAATGTTATTTGTGTTCTTAAATTTGTGACTTATGGGAATTATGTAGATTAATTTGACAAATAATACTTTATATATAAGGTTTAAGGAATATTTATATACAAACTTTAATATGTTGACTTTTTATCAATACTTAATCGTATTCTGCTTTCATATTTTATTCATGTTATTTTTCTCATTTTGAACTAAGTTATCCACTGAAGACTAACATCTCATTTAACACATTAAAAGTTATAAGTGGGCTAGAATATTTGAAATTTAGGCATGCCTGAAGTTGAATTGTAATACATCTTTTTATAAATCCTTTTTTACTCATGCCTTTTCAGTTGTTAAACCTTTATCCTGATTGTTTTCTTATAAAAATTATTGATAGTAACTTAAAGTTCTGATTTCTGCTGCCTTGCTGCTCTTTAAGTCAGTAAAGGTATTAGCTTCCCTGGTTACCTCAGGTGCCTCAAAACTTTGTCCTTTATAATATTAAAGAAAAAACTTTTTAAAGGGCTATTAACTGGAAGCCGGGTTTTCATTAAAGCTTAATTTTTTAAGGGGTTGTACTTCTAGCTGAGAATTTGTGGTCTATTTACAGGGGAGAAATCATGTTGAGTTAAACCCATTTTTGATGTTAATTAAAATTCTCCTTGTTATACGAATCAGTCATATTGCGTCTTTTTATAAAGGAGTGGGGAGGAGGGAGATTATTGTCTTCTCAAACTCCATTTAATCAAGTTTTTATGTAGGGTCACAGGCAATTCCAGTTCTGTCTCTCCCTGAACATAGTTCCTTTCATACCCTTTAAGCAGGCGCAAAAGATTTACCGGAATATATTATTCCAACCAGTTAATACCTTTATCAGGTCAACTGGTTGGTTGTAAACAGTTTCACATAGTATCGGTGTATGTTTGAAGGGGGTAGGGTACACAGGTGGATCAGGGGAGGGGACAGCACCTGTCTTTAAAGATAGGCTAGATGGGATGAATAGAGCACCTCTATCTGTGAGGAGAAGCCTTGGTGAGCTAAGTCACAGTAAGGGAGTTCTGGTGATCTCTTTAAGAACCAACTTTACAAGTATGTTTAAGTTCAAAGTTTGGTGGGGGATTTTTGGTTTTGTTTGTTTGTTTATTTTTTGCAGCTGGCTTGTACAGGGATCAAACCCTGGACCTTGGTGTTTGTTATCAGCACAACACACTAACCAACTGAGCTAACCAGCCAGCCCACAAGTATGTTTAAGTAAAAGTAGTGTTAATTACAAAACACTTCTTTTGAAGCAAGTACTCAAAAGTATCTCATACTGATTAACCTGGTAGTGGCTGTGTATAAAGCCTAGAACAGTAGGCACTTAAATAATTGAATGAAAGAAACGATAGGCTTGATATTATTGCATGATTTTAAAACATTCAGGTTGGTCTTTACACATGAATTTGTGAATATAGAATTTTTACCATATTCTAGAGAGAGACTTGGACTAATAAAAGTAAGGCAGCTTAGAGTAACAGTCACTAGTAGTTTTATTGCTTAAATATTCAAACTTTAATATTTTTTTGGTGCAGTTCTGTTATTTGAAATGTCTTTTTCTTTAAAGCTAAATGTTTAAAGTATAAGCAATAAGTAAAACCTTAAGATTTTGGTTAGAACCTGGATAACTTTTAGAGTGCAAGCCAAATATATCTCTACACAATAAAATTAAGGATATAAGTAGAAAAATATCAGGCAATCCTGCTATCTTGTTCAGTGTGATATTTTCAGTCATATGTTATGAAAACACTACAAAAGCAGCTCAACACATGATTCCTTTCCATGTAATCCATAATTATAACTGTGTAGTATGTGAAGTAACATCTATGTATTGATTGGTTTTAAGAAAACATCCACTTGGGTCAAAATATTTATATTTGAACTGTGTTAAAGAACTGTTTTCCATTTAAGTTTTCATTTTCCTTAGATAGTCGGCACAATGATTAAAGGAATGTTGCTTTTGATCTAAGTCTCAGATTCTTTTATTGAGCTATGGAATTTGCATATCTATACATTTAATGTGCATGTTAGAACTCTTAAGATTTTAATCCATATTATCTCCTCTTTGCTGAATTTCTAAAGGCCATGATTATGAAGCTCAGCAGTGTTTTGAACAATTACAGAAAAATAGTAATCAGAAGATAGTAGCTTTAAATGAATGCTTATTTGGTTAAAACAGCTGTTGACATTTTATATAGTTTCATATTTGATCCTACTATGCTATAGTTTATCATGAGAAGACAATTTATACATTAGATCCCCTTGCACTTTTTCTTTCAGTTATCAAAATGTCACCATTATTGCTGGGATTCTAAGAAATCTCTACAAATGCCTCTAATGATGTCAGAAACAATTGGTTCTAGTCCTGTGAATTCCCTTGTGAAGAAAGCATGTGACTCCTTCGGTTTAGAGGCCATATCTTTCAGGTCATCCAGAGGTGCCCAAGCCACGCCAACAGAGAATATGGTGATACCTACAATGTAAATATTTCAAAGAGAATTAAAACCAGGTCCAGCTTATATATAAAATTATGTTTATATGTTTTCCATACATTAGTACATAGTGGCAGGGAAAACTGCCTAGTAATTTACTAAGAATTAAGTCCTCTGTACCAAATTGTTAAATAGGTTTTCTCAGTTGTCGTGATAAGAGTGGCAAAACTTTGGTCAAAACCAGGAGCTTTGTTTGCCATCAGTGTAATTCACTACATTAACAGATACATCATCACTGATACAGAATAAATATTTGATAAAGTTTGGTATCCAATAATGACAGAACACACTTTAGCTAGGAGTAGAAGGAAACTTTAACCTGGTACACATCTTTTTTAAAAAGCCTATAGTAAACGATGAAAATTTCCCCTCTCAGGCATGAGAAAGGACTGCCTGCTATTATCACTTCAATTAAACACTATCCTGCAGTCATAGCCAGTACATCAGAGCAAGCAAGAGTGGCCCCAAAGATGGGATAAGTGGTGAAAAATTTCTAAGGTTACATTGGGGAATAGGTTACTAGTCCTCTGTGGATAATGATAACTTGTTTCTTGCATGTCAGTCTTTACAGTTATATTGGCAAACTGTCCAGTAATCAGAAATTGCCAGTGTTTAATCCTGAAGTGAAAACCTGATGATAAACTGCCAAAGAGATTTATATGAAGCTGGATTAATTTCTTCCAATTTAATTGAGGAATTCCCCCTGCATTCTCTTGAGTTAGTAGGCTTTTAGGACAACTGTATATTTTGGTCAAGGTGGTATACATTAGTTGGATTCATCTCAATCCTAATTGTAGAATTATTCGTTTAGCAGATTCTTAGCATAGACTATCTTCTGCTGAGTAAAATCCCCCATAACATTTGAGTGTCTGATATGAGTACTTCCCTACTATCTAAGGCATCATCCCCCTTCTAGTGGTAAACAGTACTCAGAGTTGTGAAGACTTAAGACAAAGCAGGTTTAGATGATGTAAAAGCTACTTGAAACAATTTCTAACGTATCACCACCAGCCAGTCCCCTTTCCCCACTCCCACCCCCTGGCAAAAAGTCAAAATATTTTTCCCTACCCCCCAGTTTTCCTCAGTCTTTTTAAAATCTGCAGTCCAGTTCAGATTGTTTAGCTCAGGCTCAGTATATAATATTTCTACAGTTTTTTAAAAAAACGAAAACAGTTGTCACCTAGCTCTAAAAGCCTACCCTTTTTTTTCCTTTTTTTGCAACTTCACAATACTAAGGGATTGATACCAGGACTCCCCTATGAATATGGAAATTCAAAAATGCTCAAGTCTTATATAAAATGGCATAGTATTTGCATATAACCTATTCACATCTTTCTGTATACTTTAAATCATCTCTAGATTACTTAAAATACCAATACGATGTAAATACTATGTAAACAGTTGTTATACAGTATTGGTCTTTATTTGGATTTTTTATTGTATTTTTATTTTTTCAAATATTTTCGATCTGCAGTTGGTTGAATCCATGGATGTAGAACCTGTGGATACTGAGAGCCAATTGTATTTCAGTGTGGCCCAACCTCCTGAAGTTTAGTTATTCACAGGAAAAATATATTTGGATTAATCCAATTCACTTTATTTAGTCTGAATACAATCCTGTTTACCATAAATAAGTTCAATAAATTAATTTTTGTTTTCGTGTTTTGGTGGCTGGCTGATAACAGGAATCAAATGCTGGACCTTGTTATTATCAGCACCATGCTCTAACCAACTGAGCTAACTGGCCAACCCTCAATAAACTTAAGTTTTAAGGAGTATGACAGCAAACGGGTCTTCACTTCAACATAGATTAGTTGCTGATGTATAAAAAACACTTTTTATAAGCCAGATGTATGGATTAAATTGCGTGTATCAGTTCTCTGTCCTACTTAATAAAAACAATGTTCCATCAATATCTATACAAGTACATTAGCAAGGCTGGTAATAAATGTATAGAAAGGAAAAAGGTTAAATCATTAGGAATTAAGAAGGGAAAAGGAGGTGCAGAAGAGCATAGAACAATGCAAGGCTGTTGATTTCTCCCTCCTAAGTTTTGTTCCCAGAAAGGGAACCTCAGCTTTTTGTTGGCCTATTTGATCTCAGCAGGCACATTATGCTAATGTCTTCAGGAACTAGGCCTTTGCCAAACGTAATCTTAAGGTTGGGATGAGGGAGAAAGAACCCTTTCCTATACCCTTTTATAATGCCAGGGTATGTTTTCATTACCTCAAGAAGAAAAAAAAAAATACTTAAGGCAGTTTAGATGAAATAGGATTTAAATCTTTATTGGAGACTTTATCATCTTAGAAAACTCATGCCAGACTGAAAACTTAACAAAAATTAGGATAAAGTAGCAAATGGCTAATTTGTGGTAGGTTATGGTAAACTATTTGGGGATATATATTACAAGTCTGAGCCAAAAGTGAACATCTATAACATTTCCTTGACACATGAGGAAGTTTGTTTCCTTACCTGTAGAATGAGATTAGTAGGACTGCTTTGACAAGTCATTTAATATTGGGTAAATCTCTTAGAACAATCACTGCAACACTGGAGTTGTTTGTTCAATAAAATAAATGCTTAAGTTTTTATTTACTCCTAAAATTTAACAGACCCCTCCTCAGTTCCCTTTCCATACAAAGGTCAAGGACCTTACCTGCATCATGTGCAGCAGCAGCAGGACCTCGGACATCATCATAGGACTGCCCGTCTGTGATAATTACCAGGAAGTTCTTGTTGGGGCTATCCCTCATGGGACCAAACACATTTCTAACAGTAAAGGAAATGGCATCACCAGTAGCCGTTCCACCACTCATATAACGGATGTTTCTGATAACAGCTAGGATATTCTCTTTGGTGCTATAGTCAGTGAAACTGAATTCTGTGCGCTGATCATAAGTGAACTGTACAGCAGCTATCTTGGCACCAATATCCGAGATTTCAAAAGTCTTGGCTATGTTGGAAACAAATTCAAGCATGAGGCGGAAATTACTATCTCCAACACTGCTGGAGCCATCAATTAGAAAGGCAATGTTCACTGAATTATAACAGGTCTTGCTGCACATCATTTGCTCATGAGTGCAGAGCTTCTGTACCAGAGGCTTTACATATTTTGTGGTGCCAAACCAGTTGGGCATGTGGTAAGAGAAGAAGCCATTATTCCGACAGACAGCCTAATGGGGGAGACACATAAAAGATATCCAAAGGGATCAAAAGTTGTTTCTTCTTAAAAATTATAAAAAACATTAAATCTTGAATGTTCAAAGTTAATCCAGACATGGGCCAGTCAGCACAACTCTTAGAGGTCCAAAAGTGAATCACTATTACTGTAACAGAAGATACCCCTCACCACCTTACCTTGTCAACAAATGCAACATCCTGAACCATCCCCAGTTCTTCAGGGATAGGCTTGGCTACAGAAACTATAAATACGTTGACACCAAACTCTCTAGCCACAATGCCTGCTTCCTCGATGTCATCAGAAGGCCAGCCATCAATGAACACCACCACCACTTTGGGGATCCCTTTTCTCGCTCCAGCGTCTGCTTTGAAGAATTTCTGAGCAGTATGCTTCAGGGCTTTTCCTAGGTTTGAAAAAAGAGCAAACGAGCAGCATTTACCACTGCTCAAATGACATTTCTATTTCCCTGTAGCAATTTGATGCCATTAAATTCAAGAATTTAACCTATACAGAACTCGGTTCTATAATAGATGCATTAGATGGGAAAGTTTAATTATCCATCAGGCCTATTTTTTGTCTTTGCAATCCTCATTACTTCCCCTTCCACCACCCATAAGCCTCCCATTCTCCTACTTCACATCAATCACCAGTCAGAAACACAAAACTGACTCCTACTCCCATACATGTGCTCTCTATCTAGTCCCTTGCTGACTGATTAGAACTTCTGAGGATTCAGAACAAGAAGGCTCTCTTCAAAGGGTCAATAGTGCTACCTAATTCTTCCACATCTGCCTTCATTAGACGAGTCTCTTATCTTTGCTAATTTTTGGCATTATAAACAGGTACTTCTCTAAAGTGATACCTAGCCTATCCAATTTAAGGATTATAAATTACAATGATTTAGATTTTTTAAGGTAAGAAATATCAATTAACCCTTTATTTTCCATTATAAATTGAATATTTATCTCAGATGATCAAATGCAAACATAGCCAAGATTTCAATGTCAGGAGGAAGCGTTTCACATCTATTTACATAAAATAGCATAAATCTAATGACATCACATTAGACATCACATCTGATGACTAATAACCCCCTCCTACATTACATGCCAGCATTCAGTCTACTTACCTGTATTGGAATTACCTCCTCTGAAACCTACTTCTTTTATGGCAAACAAAACATCTTTGGCTGATGTAAAGTTTTTCAAGTAAAATTCTATTTTGGGATGTTCACTGAGTAGAAAAGCAAAAACAAAGAAGTTATGTATGTAGGGAGAACTGAAATGGCAAAATAAGCAACATTATATGCCTTTTTGAAAAGTTTTTAAACCAGACAATACCCAAGTTTGTTTTTCTTTCTTTCTTTTTGGCAGCTGGCTATGGGGATCTGAACCCTTGACCTTGGTGTCAAGTTTCTTTCTTTCCTTCTTTTTAATTTATTATTTTTTTACATTCTAAGATGTTGTGGAACAGTTGTGGGGGAGGAGGACAGGAGAAAGGGGAAGGGTATAGGGTGAGAACAGGAGGAAGGAGGGAGTGGGGGGCATGGTCGAGGCCCGAGGCACCCCCCTCGTTCTGGCAGGGGAGCCCAGTGGGCTTCCAGCTGTGGCTCAGTTTGTGGCTGGCCTGGATGCAGATGTCAGGGGTGTGGCTGAGGCCCTCAGCCTTAAGATTCTTTCTTAATCCCACAGTATATATAGTCAACTAAGGCACTGCGTCCTTTCTTGAATTACTGGAGATATTTCAGAAATGTAACAAAGACTGACTACATTGAGGGTTTATTGTATTCTGGGTAATGACCTAAATATGTAACACTTGTATAATCTCATTTCATCATAACTCTACAAAGTAGAAATTATTTTCTCAATTACATAAAGGAAGAAACTGAAGCTCAGAGCATTTAGGTAATATGCCCAACAAAACATAGCTGCATTAAAAATTCAGGTTTATCTGGCTCCAAAGTCTATATCTAAACTATATGGAACACCTCCACCAGGCTTGGTTCAGGGGCCTGGATTTAATTGAAGTCTGCAGAGTTGGGCACCAGCTAGCTAGAAGGTGGCTGGGTGTGCCACTATGTCAGCTCCAGTGGGGGACCCCACAAGCATTGAACAGTCAGGATCTAATAATTCAGGTCTCTGGTCAGAAGAGACAATTTCATTGACACTAAGGCCAACATTTTAAAACTGGAATAAGTTATAAGGAAATGAATTATAAGTATTACAATATTAAATTTTCCTCACAATAAATGATAATGACATTTGCCAATCTTAAAATTGTGTATATTGTAAAATATTTGGGATTTTATTTTCCATATTTAATAGTAGAATTTCAGTTCACTTTTATAACTACTATGTGTTCATTAGAGACCATGTTAAGTAAAAACAATTAAAGCACAATTTGTTGTGTTTAGCTTTTAGGTATGACAATATTTCATAAGTGCAAAATTGTAAGATCGTAGCATTATCAGTAGTGATTTTATTAAGTCAAGATTTTTTGAGGGTCAAGTGTAGCACAGATTGTATTTCTACATACTTGGTGGTATGATTTCTGCATATCTGATGGAATACTGAGTCACAAAATCAGATTTCATGGGTTGATAACCTTTTCACTTTTGTGGTCACTTTTCAACTATCCAAATTATGACTTATAAGTCTTAATTTTGCATTCTTAATGATATACTCTGTTGTTCTACTTAAATAGAAACTCTTGACATAGTTTATTCTAATGTTCTTCCTAAATTAGAAAAAACTATAAACCAGGAGATTTATAAGAAACTAGTCTGTATGAGTCTATGAGGTAATGTAGCTTTCATCTTGAAAAAGAATTGGGTCAAATTAGCCAAAAAAAAGCATAAGAAGAGAAGTACTGCTGGGGAATTTGCCTCAGCGGATGTTAAAATGTAAAATAAAGCTACGATAATCAAAGCAGTGTAGAAAAGATATAAGAATTAACATATGGATCAAGGAAATAGATTTGCCCAAACTTGTGTGTAAAAGTAAATCAATGGAATAAGGAGCTCATTTTTTTTTTTAAGTCAAGGGACAAATGGTTAAATTATGTAGAAAACAAAGTTGAATTCTTATCTCACACTGAAAAAATTCTATCTAAACTAAGAGCAGAGCCAATTGTAAAAAAATAACATCAAAACAAGTGAAATATAAATTAATATTTGTAAGTGTACTGGTGACATCCTTATGCACTGCTGATCGTAGTTTAAACTGGTTCAACTTTCTAGAAAGTAACAGCTATTTATATCAGAAGGCTTAACAATGTCAGAACTTTACTTCTAGGAATATACCCTAATGAAATAATCAAAGATGGGTAAAAAGATAATATACGGATGTTCATCACAGTGTAATGTTTAATGATGAGAAACAGAAGAATGGTTAAATAATTATGCAAAGGAATTTCATGAAACAATTTTTGATGAATATTTGTGATAATGAGAAAACACTCAGAATACTAAGGGATGAATAAACAGGACATGATATTTTATAGCCTGAGCTTTTGAAAAAGAAATACATATATGCAGTCAAATATCTTCTTAAAATACTGAAAGGGAATAAAACATTTTATAGTGATTATCTCTAGGGGGATGATTTGGGAAATTTGCTTTCTCTGTGCTTTATATATTTTTCAAGCTTTCTATAATGAGAATGTTATAATTCTAAAAGCCATCAATGAACATTATTTTAAGATGAATAAAATAAAAAGGTCATTCTTCAGATCTCCAACCAACGGAATATGGAAAGGGCTAAAAAGTATAATGACCGAATATGGAGGAGGAATAGATATATTACTCTTTCTTCCTTCAGAGAAGAGAAATTGGGAATTGAGCTGAGTAGATGTGCAAAGGTGACTTGTGTGAGCAACAGGGCCTTTCAGTCTACCTTCTACTCCTCATATAGATAGCACACAATTCTCTAAATCCTTTTGTTCTAAAAAGGAGGCACTGAGACCTACTCTTTCTGCACTGGCAGTCTTAAATCCTGAATTTATAGTTTAAGAATCCAGCTTGTCCATAATTCAACATGTTTAAACTGAACTGAAATGAATGTACCTACTAAAAGGATTGCTAATTCGCCATCATTCAAGACATCATTCAAGTCCCTTTCCAATTTAACAAGGTTGGTACCTGGCTTGAACAAGACCAACATGTGGTCCTTCTGTTCCAATTCCCAACATTAGAGCCACTTTCCCAACAAAATTCTTCTGTAAATTAAATCGGCGCTGCCCAATATTAAAGCTTCCATCAATCAGAAATGCAATGTCTGCTTTACAGTCTGTAAATACGCAAACAAGTCCTTTTGTTAGCAGTCTCAAGAAGAGGGAAGGAAAGTACTGTTTTCCCAAATGGAGATCTTGATTCTTACCTTTATTGCCAGTTTTCTTCTCAGGTGTTTTCTTTAGTCGTTTACCTGAAATAAAGGAAGAACTTGGCATTAGCAAAGGAAGACAGTTGCACAGCAAGAAACCCACATGGGGCAAATCTCATGGCAAGGAGTGTCATTCTTGAAAAAACTTAAAAAAATAATAATAATTTCTTCATAATCTGCTGGACTGGGGAAGCAAGGCCCCAACAAAGAAATGTCAGGTCTGTGATATGCCTACATGTTCCGTATGCCCCTAATCCAGAGTTGAGGTAGGATTGGAAACTCAGAGTTATATCCTAATGTTCTTAATTTTTTTGACTTTAAAACTGCCACAGTCTTAGAAAAGGGGATGCCTGGCTATTTCTTACAGTAGACCCACACTAATTCCTTTCATTCATATGAAAGTGCAGTAATTAAGGGAATTTAATGAAGCAAATGAAAGTAGGAAGAAGTTCATGGTACTTTTATTTTAACCACTTCCTAGGCATGGTTTATCAAATTAGGGAGAAATGGCAGGACTTTGAGAGAAAGATTGGTAGCAGAATTCATAACTGAAAATAGGAGGAGGATAAAGAATTTGAAGTGTAAAACTGAAAGTCTCCACATGTACTATACCAGTAAACTTAAGACATTTGCTTTGATTCTCTTTAATATCAATTTTTGAAAGGAAAGCTTCTACCAACAACGCATTTACTTATAACTTTCAAATGCAATGCCAGGAAACTAGGAGATAGGTTCCACATTTTATACCTGTTGGTGCACGTGCGGTGGATGCTGCTTGTCCCGTGGCTTCCTGGGTACCACTTTTGCCTTCTGTTGAAATAAAAAGAAGCTTATTTTTTCCCTCTTCCTTCTTTACCTTCAAAACATTATCAATCTAATTTAGGGTTCTACAGGATGATAAATGTAATAGGGTAATGGTGATTGCAGTTACAAACATCATGCTGCATGCTAGTGTCAGAGAACAAATGGATTTTCATCTATTATATTTCAAAAGGATCACCAAAAATTAATTCACTAGTTTTTCAGTCTGGTGTTTCTTGGTAAGGGGCCAGGCATTCTGACTGCAGACAATTCAAGTTTCTATTGCCATCATCTTACAGCAAGATTGTTTTTCCCCCATTCACCCAAGTTTGGCTTGAGTGGGTACTTGACCCATCCAGTCCCCTGACTCTAACCCATAGTTTTCCTCTTCAGACTTGACCACAGGTTTTTCCAGCACAGTCAAAAAGTCTGGGCTAAGAAAACCAGAAAACTTTTTGGGGGGTGATGCCAACATTTATACAAAAGTGAGAGCAATGTAATTGTACCTACTAGTCACTGTGAAAGAAGCAGACCATCTGGAAAGCGTTTGAGACTGGATGCCATTGGCATTTACTGAGGAATAGTTTTCTCGACCAGGTAGGCTATAGACTCGCACAGGTCCCCCTGAGTTGCTGATTACTCCTCTGCAATATAAAAATAACAGCTGAGATGCTATTCACACTTCACAGGGCATCTGATTGACTTACAGTGCCATGTTACATCTGCCGCTCTGATTAATCAAGAAAACAGTACAGCGGGGAAGTCATCTAGGATGCTGCCAGCCTTTAAAAAACTTGCTTACACAAGAACAAAATCTGCCTGGGGAAACGGTTTTGTGCTGTCAAACTTAAGTGTTGATAAGAACACACTTGTAGTATCCTGTTCTCTACAGCTCAGAGATTCAGAGCTAGTAAAAGACAGTAAATTTCCTAAGCTACTTTAACTACATGCCCTTGGACTGCATTTTTAGAAGTATCATACTGGCCATTCTACTGCAAGATAACAAAATGACCGTGGGCAAGAAATCTGGCAACTTTCTGAGTTCAGTTTCCTCATCTGTAAAATGGAATAAAATTGTAACCTACCTTGTGGAGTTGGGGTGGAAATTAAAACAATGGCTGGCACACAGTAAAAACTCAGTAATACATGATATGATTAGGAATGTTTTAGAATCACAGGAATCTAGTCGTCAAGAAGTAATGCAATTTGCCTTTTGTCAGAAAGCTTCCCTTGTGTATTTGCTGTTTCATGGATATCCAGGAAAACCTTAAAAATATATCCATCTTCAATGGCCAAAATTGGCACCAAAAGAAAGAAAGCAGGGAAGAAGGAGATATCCTGATGGCTAAAGCAGAAAAGGAAATGATCATGCTCGCATTTCTCTCCCCCTGGCATGTCTGGGCTTACCTGTGGATTGCAGCCCCACATATGCTCGATACAGAAGCATATACTATGTTCCCAAACACAGAGAATTCCTCAAGAGGGCAGCCACCTGGGCAGAGAACATCTGCCTTCTCTTTCCTGATGTCCAAGCCTCTGGTAAAGCAGGTGATAGCTATGGGAACTGAAGAGAAAGGAGAGAATGTAATAAGCAGTCTTAGGACTTCTTGGGGAATAATGGTGGAGAACACAAGGTATGAGATTTAAGTTTTGCTTCCCTAATTTCTACAATTGTAGTTAAGAATATTGACTTTTGTACATTCTACACCATTCCAGATTTTACTAAGCCAGAATTGGTTTTCCAATTTAATCCAGTCCCCAGCCACGATGAAAATCTGTGAGAATTTTCTCAGTTCTTAATCAGTTTGGAAATATATAATTGGAAATATATCAGAACTGGAAACTGACATTAATTATTGAACATTTACTCATTCATTCTAGAAATACAGAAATTCCAGCTCTGATGACACTGTGTCCACAACTGCCCGAGGCAAGGACAGTAAATCTGGATTGAGCCTTTGTGGGACATTTTCATAGACACATGCACAAATCTCTTTAAGCCGTCCTTTCCCTTCAGAGGACCATTTATCCTAGTTATCCTACAAACACAGAGCCTTAAAATCACATTAACTTAAGCAAACAAGTAAAAAGATGCTTAGGTTCACAGAATGTTGTTTAGCTCAATCATTCATTTTACAGAAGAGGAAATTAAAGCCATGGGGTTAATTTGCCCAAGGAACATTCTACAACTCCCAAAGGACGGGAAACAGGGAAGTTAGTCCCTTCAGAATGGAGCATTTTCATCTTAATTGAACCTGATTATTTCTGCTCCAGATCTGTCCAAAGAGATGTATCAGGCAGTGAATGCATTTTTAGAAAGCACTGTTAATATTCTCAAGTTCTCTACACAGTCAACCTGACTAATAAAGAATCAAAGTTTTTACTACAAAAGATGCTGGGTAGAGACAGCCCCTTGGCAACATGTAACAAGATAACATAACACAACATATTAATGCGTCGATTTACTGTGGATTTTAAGTTGGGATTAACGTTATTAAATACTATTTCCAAGCACGGGAAACTAGTTATTCAAACCTTTTTGAAACAGATATTAATTAAAAACAACAGCAACAACAAAAAAAACCCCCAACTTTTTTCCAAGACAGAGGAGTACTGTGTGGTCATACTGCCCAGTGGAGTAGCAGGCCTGTAACAAGGACCCTCTTCGGTGTCTTTAGTGTTGAGCTGTGCCCTGGACTGTACCTGTCCACGGACGGGAAGGGAGGATGCCGGTACAATGCCCATTCCTCAGTTCTGAAACACTCTAGAGAGCTGAGGAAGTTAAAATCCTTACCAGAACAGCCGCCTCACACTTGCTGTCAGACAGCCTCAATCTTCCTCTTACTTTAGGCTGAGGTAGGGGCGGCCTCAGCATTCCGGGGCAGAGACCACCTTTAGCTGGTAACAGTGATTCACTGATTTTATGGGGTGAGAAATACAGCCAGGCGCAATACTTACCCTCATTTCTACTTTCAAGGAAAACAATTTGCCTTTTACATTGCAGAAAATACACCAAACCTCATGCCCATAATACACGGACCGCCACACGTGGAACAAACTCTTTGTAGACTTTCTGGCATGAGAAACGGGACCGCGAATGCTGCTTTTTTTTTATAGGGGTTACAGCTAGACACAAAGCTAGGGGGTCAAACAGGGTGGGACAACGACGTCAGTCTTCCTTTCTCCTCCCCAGCCCCAGAGGCAGCGGGACCACCCAGCACTAGTGCCCATCGGCGGGGCTCAGCGGACACCCCGGCCTGGATCCCCCGCTGCCGGCGCACGGCCTGTAGCTCCGGGGTGTGGGTGGGCGCGGGCGCGGGACGACGCTTCCT